AAAATTTGGACTATTTTGGACCACATCTGTTGACCCTTTTTTGGCCCATCTCTTTCTCATTGTTGTCTTGACAAAAGAACTTTGTGTACTAAAGGACAAATATATTGCATGTATGTTCGATATCTCCACTGAGTTAACAAAAGTTTAGTGTGTTTGAATATTAGGCCAAATGAAGAAAAAGGTTGAAAAATTAATAATATTTTAGAGATTAAAAAACATATTTTTTTAGTAAATCTGTATTAAAAAAATATAAGAATGAGTATGAAATCATTTAAAAGATAAATATATTACATATTCAGATTCAGTGCCTGGTAATAAGATGAGTTAAGTAGATACTGCACTTTTTAAACTTCTTGTATGTGTTAACTTCTTTTATGTGAGATTTTTATACATATTTTAAACTCAAATTAGAGGTAGTAAATGGATGAATTGAGTCAGTTCAAGGTGTGTTCATACAAGTTATGGATTTTATGAGTTGAGTCATGTATGAGTTGTAAGTCAATAATTATTTATCTTAACCCGATCTTAATAAGTCATAAGTTGACCTATGCGTTAAAATTTTTTTGGTTTTTTATATCATTAGTCACATCTTAGAAGATTGTAAAGCGAAAAATTAGAAGGGGGTAGATGATTCGATTTTCTACTCCATGTGCCGTTTGTTAACCTATTTTCCTCTCAAATCTGATCGCATCGCAAGTATGTTATATGTAAGTAATAGTTGATGAAATATAAGACGGGCAATCGATCAATCAAGAGGCTGAGAGAGAGTGCCTCACTTTCTGTAATATCGCACGTTTCTTCTTGCTTTTATTTCTTCTTCTTCTTCTTCTTCTTCTTCTTTTTCTTCTTTTTTAATTTGGACTTTTGTGGACCCACAACCTTTTGTCCAGGCCTTTTCTTTCTTTGTGGTAATAGATGAAGGAATGTTGAATAGTTTTTAAATGTTTAAGATTTTATATTAAGAAAGTATGAGAATTTAAAGAAGTTTATAAAGATATATTTTTTATCAATAAATAATTAAGTGAAATGAAACTTAAGGAAAATTTGACTACTAGAGCATAATTAATTTTTTATTATTTTTCAAATTTTTATTTTATTTTTTAAATTAAAACTTGAGAAAACATGTCTGAAAATTAGACATAATTTTTTACAATTAAAATGTGTCTCTATGAAATGGTGATTTTTTACGCCTTAAGTGGTAGGATTGAGCCCCCAGGAATTCCTCTTCCTTCACCATTAAACCTAAATATGTGATAGTTCCTTGCTCTCCTAAGAACTCTTACAAAAAAACAAATCAAGCTAGAAAGTAGAAATATATTGATTC